TAGGATTAGGATTATATTACTTAAATCACATATATAATTTGTTTCATTTCATTTACTTTTCTTTACTCATTCCTAGTTTTATAATTGGATGATTAACGCATTAATTTAATTTGTGTCAATTATTAATACAACAATTATATATATATATAAATAAGATGAACAACATATCATATCACCAAATATAATCATATCACGAAACATAATCGTACCACCAAATATAATCATGCTTTTTGAACACATCACCAAACATTTGCATATTTATTCATACAATACTTGGTTTGTACCTGGCCAAGCCCAGCCCGGCCCAAGGCCTTTAAAAAAAAAATTATTTCTTAAAACGTATTACGGTCTAATTATGTAATAACCTCAAAAACAATACTTGGTTTTATTATTTTTGTAGAAACTCTTATTAAGTTGTGTGACTTTATTAGGTGTTTTATGAATTTGGTTTGATGTGAAAATATTGGAATTAAGTGAGTTTAATCTTAAATTTGGACTAAAATGCCCTTATGATTAAGTTTATGATTTTTTTTCGATTGAAGTAGGCCCGTTTTGGCCCGGCCCGTTGGGCTTAGCCCGGCCCGATGGGCTTTCTCAAGCCCGACTCATGGGTCGGGCTTTCTCAAGCCCGACTCATAGGTCGGGCTTGGGCTTTGAATTTTCTAAAAAAACCCGGCCCGGCCCGCTATTTTCTCTCTCCTCTTTAAAGCCCGTCCCGGCCCGACCCAAGCCCATTAAATTTGAGCCGGGCTAGCCCGGCCCGGCCCATTGACGAGCCCTAATAGAGAGTAGAGTCCATTTCCTACAAACCAAATCACTTTTGGATTGCCCAATCATGTGTGTCTCCATCTCCGTGTGTTTGTGTGAGTTTTGCAAGCTGAAGCCGGCACAAGTACCTATGCATGTGTGCAACTAATATAAAAAGAGAGATTCATTATTATACCCGATTCAAATTATATAAAAAAACTTATATGAAATAGACTTTAAAAACACACCCAAATCAAATTTACAACATAATAAAAAAGCTTCGAACTTTCTAAAAATTATAAAACTGCCATGGATATCTTAAAACAAACCTAACCTCAAAACCTCATAATAAAACCAAAAACACTCAATAGGGCATCAAAGTAATTTAATAATCAAAATTAAATTCAATAGGACTAATTGTCATTTTTGAGGTTTTTTTTTTGGTTTGTTTATGAAAATTAAATGGTGTACTCTACATCATTAGTGCTAAAAATGGGTATATAACTAAACATCTCATATAAAAATCAAGCCCGTCACTGAATGCGTATAGATCAAGAAATCAATAATATTGCACCAAGAAAGCTAAGAAAAATAATTGCTTTCAAACATGCAGGATCAGATCACGGTGGAAGAAAAAGCTAGCCCAAATGGGAAGAATTAGAAAACGTGTACAAAAACAATTAATATGACAACTACGTTTAATAATTTTTGGTCCATTATTTGGTTCATTTATAGTCTCGCCTGAAATTATTAATATTTTTTTAAAATAAAAAGAAGTGATAGATTACATTTCATATAGGATTTTGAATTGGGCTTGTTTTAAAAAATTGATGGCAGTTTTGTAATTTATAAAAAGTTAAAAGCCTCTTTGTTATATTGTAAATGGACTTTTGGTGTATTTCTAAAGTCCATTTTATATAGTGGTTTTTTTTGTATATATAATTTGGACTATTATATTGAGTATAATAGTGAATCTCCCTAAATTTAATAGGGTTAGTTGTCATTTTTTGGGTGAGTTTGAGTTTGTTTATGAAAATTAAATAGTGTAAGGTTTATTTATATCACTAGTGCTAAGAATGAATATATAACTAACTATCTCATATAAGAATCAAGCCTGTCACTGAAAAAGTATAGATCAGGAAGTCAACAATATTGCACCAAGAAACCTAACAAAAATAATTGCCTACATAATTTCAAACGTGCATGATCAGATCACAGCGGAAAAAAAAGGCTAACCTAAATGGGGAGCCTTAGCAAAAGTGTACAGGTTTATGGTGCATTATTTGGTTCTTTTCTTGTCTCGCCTTAAAAAAAGAAGCGATAAATTACATTTATAATTCAAACTTAAAAGGAAAGATGGGAGCAATTAAGTCAATGTGGACGTGCACAAATATTAGCCAAAGCAAAAGCAAGTCTTACCACTCGATATTCCTCCTACCCACCAAAGTCCAAGTCAGTGAGCCTACCTATATATGTTAATTAATTCAAAAGAATCATTCAAGTTCCCACCAAGTTTCCACCGCAGTTTGAAAATCAAGAGCAAAAATAAACGGTGGGGATGGTCTTATTTGTGGGTACAGCTGCTAGCTTCATCTTGGCATGGGACTCTTTGGTACGGCTCCATGGATCGCCTCCCCCAATTTAATCAAATTTTGCGATCACATTAGTTCTCTTTCAGTATATGGTCAAATCTTTGCTTCTGCCATTTCAACTATAACATGACAAGGGTTCACATTAGTCGGTATATGGCAGATCAATAATCACAAGTTCGAACCCCTTACTAGTGTGTGTGATCCCATGATATTTGTACATTGTTAAAGAGACTGAATGACTCACATGTGGGGGTACATTGTTAAAGAGACAGAATGGCTCACATGTGGGGGTGAAGTATGGGTGAGGGCTAGTGCTAATGCTAAGGGCCACATACTAGGTTTGCAATGTCAAAAAATCAACGTCAACACTCAACTAGGACCACAATTTGAGTTGGGTGCTTGTATCATGCCTTTTGTTGTTATATATATTTTAATGGCTTAATTACACCAATGTTCCTGAAATTACGATCAAATCTCATTTTGCTCCCCAAAACTTAAAGTGACCCACTTTCCCCGCTTGACCAAGGTTTGGTGATCCACTTTACCTGATGGAGTCAACTCCATCCAAAACTCTGTTGAATCTGATGATGTGGTAGGGGTATTTTTGTAATTTAATATATGGGCTTAGTTTTTTTTTAATGAGATGGACTCCATGTGGGCAAAATAAATAATAAACAATTCTTCAATTCCCAAACAACAACAACAACAAAAAAAAAAAAACCCAACATCCATTCTCCCCTCCCCCGAGTATCAACCCTAAACCCATCCAGCTCCCAGCGGCATCCACCCAGCCCAACCTCTTCTTTCCGATGTGCAACCTCCTCATCCCTCGCCCTCTCTGTCTATTTGTCGCTCTCTCCCTCACCTCCCCACAAAAAAACTGCCAACCTTGATTAAGGGTATTTCTCTCAAATCATTTGCCTTGCTTGGTTTTGTACAAGATACAAATCAAAGGCTAATCAGCACTTAATAAATACAAGATTAAGTCAACTAATCAAGTGGGTTTTCTTAAAGTCATTTTTTGATTCAATTTCAAATCACTTGAATTTTCTTTCTTTCTTACTCTCTGATGGTCCAAATTAAAGAAAAAAAGTTGCAAACTTTTCTTCCAGCTTGCATTAAAACACTGTAGTATTAGTGTCAACCAAAAAGCTATGCATGGCTATAAAATATAGAGCAGTAAAATCTATTGCATCAAAATTTATTCCTTTAATTGTCGATTAATAACTTCGTCGACATGGTGAGATGGGTTCATCAAATCCTCCATATATCTTTCACAAGTATTATGCGATGAAGATGTGTTGGAATTTTAAAAGGTTTTAAAAATTTAATCGTTTATTTATTCAATTATTTTGGGAGTTTTATTTTATTTATTGTGGGGTTATACATATTTAATTTCTCAGGTATTATTTCTATATTGAATGCTGTAATTTTTTGGTTTAATGTAGTGAAGGTTACATGTTATTGGATGCTTATAAAAGGCTATTCCTCCTTCACATTTGAACAACCACAACACCATTAGAATATCACATACCACAATCACCACCACAATATGATTCTCTCTTTTTTTACTTTTTATATTTTCTCTACTTATATTATTATTTTGGGCAATGGTTATGTGACTTGGATACCTATATCCGTCTATCAACGTGCTCATAACGGATCTTGAGTTTGTGTACAATATCTTGGAGTCTTACAGACCGCTAGTACCTGCACGTAGGGAGACTACAAAGGCTGTAAGACAGCGTATTTGACGTGCTTAATGATGGTATTTTGGGAATTAAAAAAATTCATTAAAGGTTCATCTCTGCTTCTTTTGAAAGCAGCTTTGAAAAGCAACCCAGAGTCTGCTTTTAAAAGCTGCTGTCAAAAGGCCACTGCTTTTAAAATAATCGGGATATTTTATTTTTACCAAACACCTTAAACTGCTTAACTTTAAAGTGAAGCAGGTTTTTGGCCAAAAAAAAAAGCAATCCCAAACGGGGCCTTAGACGGTCAAACATGAATGGGTAAGATTGCAAAGAGATCATCAAATAAAGATTTCATTTGCATGCTCTTTTTTCCACTACGTTTGATTTATTAATAATTACACGTAATGAACTAATTCATGTTGGCTGGGGTATAATCTATATATATAAAGCAAAAGGCAGAGAATGGCGAAACATCGAAAATACCAAAAAATGCCCTTGGTTAATGCAAACATTAAGAATTGAAATTATTAATTAAGTGAGGATAATATGGTAAATTTACACTTTTTCATATTAAAAAAAATTTAAATTAAAAGAAAAATCAGATAATAGATCCTCTTTTTATGGAACACAACTACCCATTATCTTTTTTAATTCTAAAATAAATTTAATTTTTTCTTTTAAAAAGCCTCTCGCAAGCGCGTAAGCGCATGCAGAGAGGCTAGTATAAAGAAAGTAGTCATACAATACCCATCCCCAAAATGACGGCCCAGAAAACAAGGAGAAGACGTGTTAACTTTAGCTTAAGTCTAATTTTTTTTTTTTAAAGGTCCTTGGGCTACAGCCCACTGTAGCCCATATACTGGTTGCACTCATTTCTGACAGAAAATGACAGAAAATTTATAGCTTTCTGTGGCTTTCTAAGAACAATCCAACAAAAGCCAAATTAAATTGGAAATTATAACTCAATCTCAATGTCTGATTCCTCAAGCCAGATAGATCTCTGCAAATTAAGCAATTTTTGAAAATTGTTTAAAGTTGATATCAACATTCATCAATTTGAGCAATGAACAAAACCAAGACTCGGTTGGGGGACAAGACCAAGTTTACAAACTATTCCTAACCATCCCCCAAAATGCATCATGTTGAAGCATACACTCTCCCTGAGGTTGGCTTTGTAGTCTCCCATGAACAATTTCCAATAACCTTTTTTTTTTTCCTCTTTCTCAAATCTGCTTCTCCAATAATGAACTAGCTAAACTGCCTTGAACAACTTTAGGGCCCAGGTTTTCATGAGATTAATTTTGAAGGAAGTCTATTAACAAATAGTGGGCAGCTTTGGGAGAGACAGAGAAAAACATTTAATGGAATGACTCAATCTGTGTCTCCTATATGCTTGCTTACATGATATTGATCAAAATGCAAATCACCATCAAAAGTCGGTCAACCTGCGAGAAGCTGCAAGATCCTCTTTCATGCTGCTCATGGCACTCGAGTGACGAGACGCCCCGAGACCAAGATCCTCTCTCATGTTCATACTAGAGCGCTGAACTAACCGCACTAACTGTTGCACCACCTCTGACATAGGTGGCCGGAATTCAGGCTCCCGCTGTAGATACAAATTAAAGAATGAAAATGTTAGTCAAGGACAATCTTCTGTCATTTCCCAGTACTCAATATAAAAGCGTAAATGCATAGGTGAACCAATACTTGCAGAAACAGCCTCTTTTTTTTTATTCTTATGGAATTGTTGATAATACCGTTCGAATGATGCTATTTGTACCATATTTATTGAGTAACTTGCTGACAGCCTCTCTGTTGCAGAGAGACTGTTAATAAATGTGGTACAAATAGCAGCACTCTTACAGTTCTAGATGCCCAAAGCCAAGCCTAACCAGAGCCCTATAAATGCTACATTTCCCTATATAGGTAGATATGTGTGTGTATTTTTGGGTGTGTAGAAATCACCTGAACACAGAGGGCAATGATGTCAGCAAACCGCGAGACTGACTTGGGAGGGTAGAGTCCACGGAGAGCAGGATCCACCATTTGTGACAAGGCATCGAGATCATGGAGCTGTGGGGTTGCCCACCGGACAAGGCACTGCTCCACAGGTGGTTTTGAACTAAAGAAAGGAAACAAAAATGGTTAAGACTGGCAAGACATTGGCAAGGTTTATGAATAAAAGGCAGAGCGAGACGCCAATGTAACACACCTGTCAACCGGCATACGACCTGTCAATAACTCTAACATGACTACCCCAAAACTGTAAACATCACTCTTTGCTGTATAGGCTGATGGCTTAGTGCATTCTGGAGCGTTGTATCCCATCCCAAGGTTTTGGCTAGTACGCTGAAAAGAGTACATTGCACCATTCAGGTTGAACATATAAGAAATTGATCCTATAAACACAATGATTCACTGAGTTTCAAGAGAATGCAATTAACCTGATGGAAGGTTGCCAAGCCATAATCGCAGAGACGAGGATTGAGTTCAATGTCAAGAAAAATATTTGATGATTTGATGTTCTTGTGAACTGTGGATGGAGAGCAGCCTTCATGGAGGTACCTGAAAAAAGTTCACAAATAGTTGATTTCAATGACCGCAAGAAACCCTGGTAAACCAAATTTGCTCAATTCAGATCACTAAACATATTGGCTAATGAGGTTGATAGAAAAATGTATGAGCAATTTCTGGAGTAGGTTTTATAGTCACTTACTCAACAGCCCGGGCAGTGCCTAAAGCAATTCTGACTCTTGTGTTCCAAGTTAGGGGATTACTGTAGTCATCTGACATGTGTAAGAATTCATGAAGCGAGCCATTCCTGAAGTACTCGTAAATTAACATGTTATGCCCGTGTTCTGAACAATAACCAACAAGTTCGGCGATGTTGGCATTGCGAATCTTGGAGATATTTACAACAATGTCAGAAAATTCTTGTGGCGCTGAGCCTTGAAACAATGAGGAGTCAATCTTTTTCACAGCCAAAACCTGACATGCATATGGCATAAGAACTGTGAGTAAAAATTGGGAGACACCTCTTAATAATAAGATAGGACCATCTCTAACTCCGGTTGATAAAGATATCCACATCAGTAATTCCAAATGAAGTTTTATGCTAGGACTTATGTTTAAACACAAATTATAACATGAACCAATAGAAGATTTGGTGGTGAGTAGCAACTATATAGTAATAAAAAACTATACCTTCCCATCATCATATTTAGCCCTATAGACACGTCCAATGGTACCCTGCCCAAGAAGGCGAGTGGGTGCAAAGTTAGCAGTAGCAACCTGCAAATCTGCCAAAGCGTAATTCGTAGCTTTTACAGAGGTGCTTCTTCTGGCAAAGGATTGCAAACGTCCAGAAATCGACTTAAAACCAATTGATGGAGATTTTGAAACAGGCTTTATGTCAATTGAAACGGCTCCAGGATCTGTCACCGGCATATCATCTGGTTAGTAGAAAGTTAATAAACATTTGTAAAGTGACAGATATTGAAAAGCCAGTTGATACATTATTTTGACTGCATGACCAATGGGGCAGGAACCTAGACTTGGGGGGCAAGAAATAATATCAGGTGGAAAGCTCATCACATACACATTGACTTACATTGCAAGTAGATTTACAGTAGTTCAGTTCTATGTTAAGAGTGTCGCAGAATTTCATTAGAACAGCTTAAAATACAAATAAATTAGCAAAGAAAATCCAAATAAGAATATAACAAACTTTATCAGAAACTCGTAATCAAAGATATTTCGAAGACAATTCTAACAAAATTTTCCATCAAAAAAATTTCTGAATGAAGAAATTACCTTTATTTCTGAATGAAGAATTCAGTTCTCTAGATAATTCCTTAGATGAATAGGAGGCACCAAAGGATTTACGCTGGCTAAGCCTGTCATCATCAAGGAGGTGTGAAGTAGAAGAACGTCTTCTTCTTGAAAAAAGGGCAATTATAATTGCAAGCACCAACAATATGGCCAGAGCTATCCCAGCTATGGTTAATCCAGTGGCTACAGAAGACTTCCCCCCACCACTCTGTGAGGAAGACCCTCCTCCTCTATTACGGCGTGCACCAGGGGGAGAAGGTGGAGATGGTCCAGACGACCAAGAATTTCCTCCAGACCTTCAATTAGATAATAAAAAAGTCAGAAGCAAATCATTAAGAGCTTCATCCTTGACATTGATCTTTGAAAAGGATACTCACTTTATGTTTATACCCTTCAACTCGTTAGGGATCCAGCCAGAAAAGCGGTTGTTTTCAATATTCCTGCCAGCATGATAATGAATTCGTTGAGTGAAAACAACTACTAACTCTAACAGGTACATATAGAACTATCATTTATAGAACAAAATCTAGCTCAAGTATACTTACAGGTCCTCAACGGGAGTGTACACAAGTAGAGTGATTTGACCAGTAAATTGATTGTTCTGCAGATTCCTGCATGGAGACATAGAGGACTTAGCAACCAGGAACCTTGGACACACATGCAGGTTTAAATTTTATTGATTCTTACAATTTTTTCAGGCTTGAGAGCTTTCCAAAACTCTGAGGCAAGTTGCCAGTCATTGAGTTGTGCGATAAATCCCTGCACGCCATTTCATGATATATGAGTTAGTCAATAATCCTTCAAGTACTGACGTATCTATGTCATATCTAAATACAAGAATAGCTATCTAATTCAAAAATGGCATTACCACCGGTCACATTCTTTCATGGCAGTCAGGGTACGAATAGAATTTCCAAAGCTTAAGAGGACAATGAGGGGTAATGGACGGTAGAAGCCATTTACAAAAGTTCAAGAGGAGTTGAAGTTTGTATTATAGTAAGAGACATAACAAACACACATGAAACCTTGGTGCTAGCTAAACTCAAATACCCTAGCTTCTTGAAAAGAAAATGTACAATAGGGAAAAGCACCAACAACAACAAAAAAAAGAGTACAACCTTTAATGCAAAGTTAGAAGAACTTACAGCTCTTTGAGTTTAGTAAGTTTCCCAAACATATCAGTCAACTGTCCATTGAGCTTGTTACGACCAAGATTTCTGCATTTACCCACAAATTTGTGAGAAATGGGAGTGGCTCCTTACAAGATTATGCTAACACAAGAACAAGTTCTACTTACAGAGTTTCAAGGTCAGACATCTGAGATATTGAATATGGCACAGTATTTGTGAAGGCATTTTGAGAAAGATCTCTGCAGATCAACGGAATTAGATTAGTATTGACAATGATGGAAATAAACTGAGGTCTGATTGTTGGATAAAGTCATTGTAACAAATAAGTATAGCAAGACGAAATAATAAACTGTCAATCTGCAGGAAATAAACAAGAGTTTATGGCCTCACGCGTATTAAATTCATCCACGCACGCACGCGCACACACACACACCCTGATGATAACATGCAATGTTATATAATATGAAGTGTTTGTCTGCGGACTTACATGTACTTTGCATTCGGAGGCAGTTGATACGGTATATCGCCATTGAGGTTGTTCTTGCTTAAATCACTGTACTATGACGAACAAATGCATATCCTTCAGATTATGAGCTTTGAAAACAAAAATATGTATAAAAAGAAAAGCCTATTCTAATGAACTGGTCCTTACAAGCGAGTGACAGATGTTAAGCTTGCAAGCTGGTAGCCCATTGATCCACTGAGCCCAAGGTCAGACAGATCTCTGCATAAAATTTAGAAAAAAGGTTGAACTTGTACATTTTAGGCATATATCTTGTAAATAATCGAACTGTTCGCTCTCTTCACCATAGATTTGGATAATGTAAGTATATATGTATGTAAGAAATGAGAAATACATTTCAGTTACAGATGAGCCTGAGCATTTTATCCCTTTCCAGGAATCGCCGCAAGGGTCTCCTCCACTTGATTTCCAACCACTTAGTTTCGAACGAGAGTTTATGCTGTTATACATCACATTAAGTGAAGTGACTGCAAAGCACAGTAAAACATCAGAATATTGAAGTACTTATCTTTTTCATGGAGGAAAATGGAAATATGATGTAGATGGTGCAGTGGGACAGAAAAATAAGTAAACATTCAAATGAAACTCATGTCATGAAGGTGCTCAAAAACTGGCGCAATAGACGAGACAAAATTCTGATGAAACTTGTAATACAGTGGTATAGAGTATAGACAAAGAAAAAACAAATATTCAAATGAAACTTCTGACATTAAACTGAGTATTTGAATAGAATGTTCCAATTAGTTGATTTCTGTTTATCTTCATAAGAACATTTAAGGACATGTAAAGGTGACAGGCCCTGAGAATTACAAATTAGAAATGTTTCAAGGAAGCTCAAAATCAGGACAGTAGATGCCTAGCTAGAAGCCATTATGAAAATTGTTAACAAACTGACTTGGCATTTCTGAAATTTTGCCAAGGGTTGAGGGCTTTCCTTTTTCTTTTTTCTTTTTTTTTCAATTGATCATATGATCATATGAGGAACATCTCTCACAGGTGAAAATTTCGCCTGATAATGTTGTAATTCCAGTCATCTACTAAAAAAAAACCAGAACTAACATATGGTTCAAACACATTTTTTTATTTAACAAGAAATTCTCGTTGGATTGTAAAATTTGTAATCTCACTTCATCATAGATATACCTTACCTCCCAGTAATCTTAATTTATATAGATATTCCCTCTCAGGATCAAATTGAGCCCTCATAAATAGATTGAAGCTATACATTTAAAATCTAAACACAAGAAACTACACATATTACACATACATTAGACTAGAAAATCAGATATGCTTACCATCTTGGGAATTAGTCTTGGAATAAACCCCAGTTGTGAAGAACCCAAATAAAACAACCCACAACACCAGAATGTTGTGGAAGTGGATCATCCTTTCAAAGCACAAAAAGGGAAGCAAAACCCAGAAAGCAAAAACAATTTTTTTTTTTTTAAAAAAAACAATCACAAGAAAAGGGTGGTGGGTTATGGGTTTTGAATCAGAAAAAGAGGAGGATTTTTGGGTGAAGATGCTGATAGATTGATTAAGGTAAAAAAAAGAGCAGGCATCCTAAACTTTATATTTTCTTGTTTTGTGTTTTGTTGTATGTTTTTTGTTGGTGAATGTTGTTGTTAGTGGGGTGTTTCTTGGGTTGGTTTTCTGAGAGAGATGATGTGAGTTGGCTAAAATTAGAGAGGAAGAGGAAAGAAGAGGCATCAGCATTAACAATGTACAGTTAAAAATCGTTGAGAAAGACAGCATTTGCAACAGTCTCAGCGAAACGTGAGGACCAAATGAGAGACTCCCGAGAGACCCAACGTTTTTCCGCCTCTTTCAACTGTTTTTCAAATGCCCAGCTGGAAATTTACCCATCATACCCTTTTGCTGCCTGTTTCATTTTTGTATACAACTGTTATATACAACCCCTCTCCCAAAAAGAATAAATATATATTAACCTTTTTTTATATAAGATCGTTGTATACAATCATCCTCTCACAACAAACCAACCTTATCTTATTAGATATTGTCAGAAGGCGATTATACAAAAGAATTTCTTCTCACAGCAAGTGGTCTCCTGTATTTTGTTTTTTTTTCCAATGTTAGAATATCACAAGTTTCAAATCCCCTTTCCCGTTGATTTTATAAATTAATTAAAAAAAATTAAAAAAGAAGGTAGCTATGCAGGTCACGATCCCTCTCCATTGAAGAAATTATTATGTCCAAAGATGATTTGTTCAGCATAAAAGCAGAAATATGCAGATGTGAAAATTTGTATGTGGGAGAGAATAAAATTTTCTAATCCCTTTCCAAAATAAATTATGCGCGCATTCTTTTCAATTCCATGAGAGGTGGGAGTGAGTTTTGACGGCAACAAGAAAGTTTTGTTGCACACACAGAAATAATGATGTCAATGCTCTCAGAACACAATATTAAATAAGATCAAATAGAGTGAGGACTAGATTTGGGCTGAACTCTAAACTTATTGATAAACATAGACATTTTGACTTTGAACGTTCTAAGTAGCTTTTGAGGTACAAAGAAAGAAGAGGAAAAGCTATGAAACCAAGGAGACGAAAGTACCTAACCATTCCAAACATAATGAGTACCATATGCAGATTTGGCCATAAAATGATAAAATGAAACGACCTTCCTTTGATGAAATTGCATGCAGATGGGGCATCTGTTAGTGTTATGCTGCCAGCAAACAATAGCCCTTTCTATTATCTAAGGTCGAGTTCCTTCGTGTAGGGAGGGCATCGATTACAAAGTCTATGCACTTTGGGCCAATTGCCTGACTGGTGAGGTGCTGGGTCTAATTTCCAGTGGATGAGTATAATTCACCAAGAAGAAATAGTCTAGAACAATTTTACATTATTAGGATATCAACGCATTTCCTCAAGGTAATAATTAATACACAAAATGAAGGATGTAAGTATGGTACTCACATACATATAAACATCATGGTCCAAACGCCTTACCCATGCCAGTAGTTCTGAGAACTTCTAAAGCAGCTTTGAGTTCATTGCAGAAAGTCTGAGTTATCATACAGGAGTAATGAGCCCAACTGCAGCCACACACCATTACACTCTGTAACCCACAAGAGTTCATATATAATGACTAGTTTCCAGGACTACAACTTAAAAAGTGCACCAGAATCAACAAGCCTTTCCTATTTATCAGTGTGAAATCCAATTGCTAGGCTTCAGAATGTAAATCTGGTAAAAGGGTTGCAGATACGTACGAAATTTGGGAGGCATGATGTACAGAAAATCATTAAGGAGGAACTACCCCCTACCCTTTCCTCCATTTCTCATTTTGCAAAAGTAGTGTAGTAGTCGGTCTTCTTGGTAGATGGGCCCTGTCTATAATTTATACAACATAACTTTACTCGGCCCTCCAAAATTAGTTGTGATGCCAACGAGGTCATGCACCTGAACTTGGGCTGCTTTCACTTGATGACGCACCACGCTTACCCAGTTTGGTTAAGATGTACGCCATGGCAACTTTAGCACCGAGGCTAGAGTGACCACGAGACAAGCAGACCACACCCCCAAGAATCAGCAAGCCATTGGCAAGCAATTTCTTTGATGGTGTTCTTGACAATTTCCTCTCCCCACCAATGATAGGTCTGTGAACAGAAGTTGCTGCAGAGTTTTCTTGAGAAGTCATACTATCTGTGGCTTCCAATCCAGGGGGAACCTGTGTGGAGGAGAATAACAATCAACAGCAAAAACAGCATGCAGATGAAGTATGTAGAAGATTAGATATGTTATAATCTCTGGAACTAAAAAACCCAGGCATGACTTGTCCTAAACTATAAATATGAACCAGACAGTTCCTTTGAATCCTTCTAGTTGTTTCTATGACCAGGAAGCATGCTAATGATCCCTGTAAAATGACGGTAAGTATCATTTCACCAATATAAAACACCAGACACACGCATGAGGGGAGTAATTGAGTTAACACAACCATTCAAATGATGCTTTCATCTCGGCTGCACAATGCTACAAACTTGTACTAATATGGGCTCTGGATGTAATAGGACCTTGTCTAGGTCAACCAAACCCAAGTTTAGTCAACACTCAAAATGCACACGGTTGTTTAGAACCATTAATTTAAAAGGCATGAAACCCTTACTAAACAGCACAATAAAGCCAAGATTTAGGAAACATGATGCCTACACACAGCTGTTCCAGACAACTAACCATCAAGTGAAATTTGTTTATTACATACACCAAGACAATTCATCAACCACAACTAACTCCCAACCGAAATTAATACATGACAACTAGCCAAGTACCCTGATAAATGATATCAATTGCTATCAAGAAATGTAACATGACAAGCAATGTATATAAACAGTTAAACAATATTACTATATTGAAGAGAATTGTCCTGACCTTTTTAATCAAAGTGACAGCAGTAGCACCAGAACTTAACTGATGATTGCTGATTGTAGAATATCTGCGAAGTGCAGTATCCATCTTACATACATAACTCCATATGCCCCTGGAAAAAGCTAATTTTGCCATCTCCACATTTAAACCAGCATCTTCTTGGTGAAACATTTTGATTTCACAGGCATTTCTACCAGGGACTGTAGGAGATTATTAAAAATCACAAAATTATAAACAGTTTCTTTTTCTCATTTTAAGACATCAAGTACCACTTTTACAGATATAATGCAGTCTGCCAGAATGTCAGCCAAACAAGCCTTTTAACTTTTATGTGTAAGTGGTTCCTTTCTTTTTAGTCTGAAAAGTGCAAGTCACGCTAAAGCAGAAGAAAATTATTCCTTTATCCACCACCAGTACATGAAGCAAAACTAATATGATCCTTGTTGGAATATTTGCTGCATCATGCTGAATAGGATAAAGCTTAATGAAGCATATGTTTTATTTGGAATAGGCCTTATAGTTCACAGTAGTATTGTACGAGTAATAAAAGCAGCCCAAACTGGACAAACTGACAAATTGTAAGTAATTGTAAAGACAGAGAAAATTATTTTCATAAGGTAGAGAGAAAGGAAACAAATGAAGAGGGATTCGTTGGGAGCTTGCCTTTTCTGATTTGCCAACCAGATCTGAAAATACCAACACGCACATACTTCTTCTGGGGTGGTGCCAAAGGATGTTCACATTCCTGCTATCACCAAAAATTGGAAAACATATTAGGCAACTCACAAAGAGAGGCAGAAGTTCTAAAAGGATCAAACGCATCAAAGGCAAAAACTTAATCCCTAAAAAAACCAAAGGGCATTATGTTAGTGCAGGGAATTACAAGCAAACAAAGGGTATTATGTTAGTGATGGGAATTACAAGCAAATAAAGGGTATTTTCTGATGTTATGTACTATAAACTTTTCTTTCAAGAATATTCCTAAAGCAATCCCTGTTTAATAGATTATAATAGATTATTCCTGTCACAAGGTAAAGAACAGTAAAGGATTAGAGAGAGAGAGAGAGAGAGAGAGAGATGCATAACTGCATAAATGAATTCACTAGACAACATTTGGAGCACCAGCACATGGAAAATAAAAACGATGCACGGCTCAAAATTGCCTAGAAGTAATTTACATGTGAACGATTTTGTTGGAATCAGTTACCTTGATAAAACAGTAGAATGTATTATCTTTCCCCTCCCACAACCTCCAAGCTAACACATATTCTCTAGCTGTCAACAGTGGAAACTTTTTTATTGACCGACCAACTTCAACCCCCTTGTTTTTGTCCACCTGTAACTGCTCATGCTCAATCAGCATCTTGTCCCATTGCTTTCTGTAATCATTGTCCATGTAGAAGTCTCTCAGCTTCTCAGGAGAGCAATTCTCAAATATTGTTGAGCTCAAGTATTTCACAGGGCCATCCTGAAAGCAAGAACAAATATGCATTAACTCAATTCCATAGCCTTTATTCTCTAGAACCAGTAGAGTAAAACAAGGAAACAAGTAGTTGTGCTAGCAACAGATACTAGACCGAGAGTAGATGCCTCGAGCAAATTTGGGGTGATACTCATGAAACAACAAGACACAAGAATCAGATTTAACTTGTCAGAAAAACAACACCGGTATGAACGACCTTAGGCTTGCAGCATTTTGCATAGTAGGATAGAAGATCATTTCTTTTCTCTATGACATTGTCCCATTTCTCATTTTCACGGGTCTTTTCCTCCAAATTTTCAATTAGAAACTTCAAATCTGCATCTGTGACCATTTCCGAGATGCTGCAGAAGTAACAGAACAAATACTTGAGTAATACAATCACAAGTTGATCCCACAAAATTTGGTTTATAGAAACTCAATATCAAACACCCCAAACTTCTACTAGTTTTTTTACCAAAACGGGAGAAAGAGCATGAAAAACGCAACGAAATTTGAGATAACAGCTGATCAAAACTCAATTATCAGATATCTTAAAATCAATTGAACCCGATTACCAAATTGTAGAAAAATTAATACAAACCCAAAAGGAAAAGTAAGACAACAAAACTGAAAATAAAACCCAATTAGCAAAATCTCATATTTAAACCATAAAGCACAAAATTAGAGAAAACCAAGACGAACCCAATTGATTGAACCCGATTACCAAATTGTAGAAAAATTAATACAAACCCAAAAGGAAAAGTAAGACAACAAAACTGAAAATAAAACCCAATTAGCAAAATCTCATATTTAAACCACAAAGCACAAAATTAGAGAAAACCAAGACGAACCCAATTGAGCATAGACAAACCCCAGGAGGAAAATTAAGAAACTTGACCTGAACCCAGAACTGGTTGGATCAGAATTTGAGACACCAACTGGAGAAGACTTGGAGGAAGAGGATTTCCTAAAGACGAACCTCTTGGCACAGTGCCAAGCCAAGACGAAAAGAAGAGCGACAAGAGTCGCCAAACCGCCATAAACATTTTCCCGCCAAAATTCCTCCGATGATCCTTGGAACATGCCGTGAACTCTCCTCAAATCCACGATTTTCACCATCTCTGTTGTTTCTTTGTTATTCTCTGGTTCGCTAATCGCATAGTTATAGAGGCTCATAAGCAGCTCTGAAGTTGTGCCCCTCTGTTTTCTGTGTTATATACTATGCAACTTCGGTTTGTCCTTTGCGAGAAACAAGAAGGCATAGAAGTCGCCGATGGGACTGTTGGCGGGATATAATCCGCTGTGCTAAGCTTCAACGTATCTTACTGTGAGGAGGAGTCCTATCATCTTCATATTTGGATAAGAGGGGTGATGTAGTCTTTTCAGATTCATATTGTCTGACACGTGGCATTGTTTTATAAGTCATGCAGTGCAAGTGATAAACTGAAAAGCCCCATCTAATTTTTCTTTTTTTCTATAAGAAATTTGTAGTTCAATTGATTAATTAAATCTCCCCTTATATTTCGAGTTCATGCATTCAGTCGTCCCGGAACATCGCTTGTATGAAAACAAAATGTGCGGTGGTTGTTTTGGAAAACTGCTATCTCAGTTTCATTCAACTAACGTGTAGGGGCTTAATTTTGTTTTTCTTGAATAAATTATATTTAAGATAGCACTTTCCTTAATTACTTGAAATTTTAAGTCTTAATACACAGCCTCACCATTCATCGTGTACACATGTTTTCTAAAGTATTTGACTAATTCTCAAGAGATGGGTCTTGATCCTGAAGCACAAAAGTCCACAAACTTGATGTGACAAGCAACATTGTCACCTATATTTAGAAGCCACAAATGGGATTGCATTTTCAGTGTCTTGGTGGATAAGATAGGAAGATATGCACGAATTAAATTCTCATTGATTCAAACAAAGAGGGAAAACGACAGCAGCAGCTACAAACATGCACTTCCACCTCTATACAGTTTACAGTTAATACATTTACACACAAACCAGAAAAGAAGAGAAAAGTTTGAAACAGAAACTCCTCTTCAAAGAAAAAGCATGATCATGGGATTATGAACTGAGTTATGTTCCAATCACATGCATCATGTTATGTATTTTGGGAACAGAGATTCTGCTGAGGGGCTTACTTCAAGTAACAAAGAAGCTGGGTCATGGCTTGTTAGTCAATTCTTGTCTAGTTCTTTTAAAAGAAAAGTATCATTTGGAACCAATGAAGCAATATTCAACAAAAGCATGAATTAAAGTGCAATGGAAGATGAAAAGGCATGGTTCCAAAATGGGGGCAGCATTGCTTGCAACTGATGAAATAAATCAATGAATCAAATGCTGAACAAGCATAATATAGGAGGTTTTTCCATCAAGGTCTTTTTGCTGCATACTTCTTATTAAACTGCCTGCAAAGATGGGGAACCTTAAAAAAGCAAAAACATTATCCAATTTTTTCAGGAAAACTACTCACTCGAAATGCAAGTCTTATGATACTAACGACTACCATTGAAAAGTAGCACGCACGACGCATATGATACATGAAGCCCGCCATCAGCTTCGTAGAACCGGTAAAACCCCATTTCATTCAGATACTGATGCACTCCTTATGAATACAGAGACATCAGCAACCTAATCACAAGTTAATCAAAAACTGAAAGTAGTATTTAAGTCTGTCACATACAATCCGAGCATTCATCTCTTCCTAACTGGTCTGAGCAGAAGACACAGGTACTGGGATCGCATCTTCAAGTTTTACCCTGGTGCCAATGGAGCCGTCAGAAGCAGGACTAGCTCTTTCAGAAAGATTAGCTTCTTTACTACCCTCATCCAAGCGGACAACTTGAGCAAAACTCTTTGACATGTGCTTAATGAAATCACTGGGTATTTGAACAGTATTTCTGGGCTCCTTTTCTCCAACTACACCTACAGCAATCAGGCTGGCTTGCTGTCTTGCCTTTCGCTCTTGCATTGCTTTCTGCCGGTCTTCATAAAAATCAAAATCATCTAGAATCGACATATCTGTTTCATAGTTCTTGAAGATGTTCAACATCTCAATCCCATGCTCCAATTTTACCTGCACATATGGGAGCAAAAACGGCATTGTAAACGAAAGTACAACACTTGCCGAAATACTGTGTGCTTAGAGATTCCTAATCTACAACTCCAAAAAATTTCATCAAATTTATAATGTAATCTCCTTAACATAGGACAAGAAGAGCTGCAAATGATTCAAAATAAGAGGCTCCTGGTTTATAAGACCAGAGAATCAGTATTTGAGCATAATTAGATAAGAAAAAAGAAGGGAGAAAACAACATGAAAATTCAGACTCTAGAACCTCAGAATTTACACAAAAAGCATATGTGGCACATCTCAGACAGAACTTTTGGAGGGATTTGAGAGAATGAGAAAAAACCAAGGCCTTTCCCAGTAAAGATAAACATCTACCTAATCCACCACACTTAATAGTCCATACAGATTGTCAGCAACTGCAATTGGTTCGATAGTCAAAAGCTCAGTCAAGCTACTATAAGTATTCAGGTAAACAAACTAAACATTTAGTTTCCGTCTGGTTATGGCTATTGTTAAAAATAAGAACTGAGTGCAATATTAATTCCTATATAATAAAAACAGGCTTTTCACAAATTGTCACCTCTTGAGTGTCTCGACTGTTAGTTACAGGCTTGTTGTCGTTATTTTCAAGAATGATGTGCCGAAACTGACTATTGGGGACATCTTTAATCATATGCCACTTGACAGGGAACTGGCCACTCCATTTGTCTTGCTGCCAGTAATCCAGACTCTTGTCAAAATCCACAGGTCCAACCATTTCAGCCACCCCACAGAACTGAGCACTAGCATTCACCTGAGTATTATTAAGTATAACCATATAAGGAAAAACTGGGCAGCATTGGTGGAATAGAAAGAATGGAAACAATTACAGAAAAAGAAAAAAGAAGAAATCATATGGCATACATTAATTATATTGCGAACATGTATTCACCAAAAAGACCATGTATTTACCGAAAAGAAGAGGAAAATTGGGCAGCCATCATGCTTCTCCTTAACTTCACGATAAGCCGCATCTAACTTTCTGTTCCCATTTGGTGTGCTGGCCCAGACACCATATTTGATGCTCTTGTGGACATTATCTTCACTGTAAGACTTGATAATGAAGAACTTAGCATCGTTGTACTCTGTTACAAAATCTGGCTTGTTGTATGATTCATCATGGACCTTGGTTGCAGTAGTGTTATGTTTGGTATTCTCCACAGAGCTATCAGCCATGATTTGACTCTTTGGCTTTGAGGCCCTTGGTCCCCGGTTCTGCTCACAAAGAATATCAAGGGGGGCATTGCAACTGCATATAGGACCACTGCCCCTCACATGCCGCTTGCTATTCTCTAACGATAGAAAGCCCCGACTGTTAGCTCCAAAACTAGAAAAAGATGCATTTCCAAGGCTAGAGGCCTGATTAAAACCACTGGGCATGTAGCCTCTGTTGTAAGAGTTTGAACCAGATCCAAACCCATACAATGACCTTTGTTGTTGAGAAGCCTGAAGAAAATTCATTAATCAGCATTAATACTAAAACAGATGAGTCTAATTAGATTCATCAAGTTTCAGATGATGTCAGTAACAATCAACCATATCACAAGCATTTATAGACTGGCATCATTGCCAAGATATGCATTCATAAAAGATAGGCCAAAGTTGCATGACACCAAAGATGGAAGACGACCATGACCTAAGGGTTACACCTGAGCTCCACTGTTGGTAGATAGATACCCATAGTTATTCAATTCAAACAATCCATGCCTAGATCAATAAACTATATTGCATTCCAAAATTCCATTGATATAAATTTGCAGGTCTTGATTTGGATGCCAATGAATCCCATGACTGACTGGGAATCATGGTTTACAGTATATACAATAAATTTTCCTTGCAAGAATAGAACTACTAACGATGAAGATCTAGTTATGGTGTCTGGCAAACTATAATATCTCAATTACCATGGATTTACACAAATACAAAATCTGGGTTCATAAATAAGAAGAAACAGAAGGCAAACAACTTAATATAAGGGTCAACAATAGCGGATGTGGTAATGAAGTCGAAAGTAGCTTTAGGAACTGTTAAAAGGAGGGAAGAGGAGGGAGGGACACAGAGAGAGAATAATATTTTATTCATACAAGTCTTCAAACACTTCTATATGAAAAATGTGAAAGATAAAGATCGGTCAGCAGTACACTGAGAGCCTGGAAAATAGGAAAAAAGGCTATCATTAAGTTTTAAGAAGTTCTAATTACTTTTAAACTTGAAGTCTTGGGAGGAAGTCACAGTAAACCCCTTACCATACTTCTTTGAGAACAAAATATTCGGAGCTTTAGGCCAAGGATATATTTAAACAGAAGACCTATCATGTTAAAGCACATCTTCAGCCAAATCAGTCAATTCAACTCCACTCTAATCGGCTTGATCAGGTCATATGCCTAGGTTGCGTGCAAAACTAATACAATTATTGGCTATGACACCTAGAGGAGCATGACAGCCATTGTGCTCCCCGGGTTTCCTAGTTCTAAAGCACTTGCTCCAACATTCTGGTTCGCTTTTGTGAACAAGCACAAGGATACAGTCAAATTTCATCACATGACACACATGTGATTAACGACAGATTGCAAATAATATTTTGGGCAAAAGCACCCAGGATAATATACAAGTTCTACCTAATATACCAAATCTAACTTCCTCCAAATAATATCCCAAACAATTGTTGCAAGAAGAATGAAGAAAAGACCAACAAGATTTCAAAAGAACGTCATCAGAAGATATACACAGGTACAAGAACAAACCATTCCAACGTTCTGCCCAAATGACCCAAGTGGGCCAAGCGGCTGTGGAGATACTGATGGCGATAAGGGAGTCAAAGACCTGTGCCTGTCTGAGGGTTTTGACCAATCTGACCAAAGTCCTCCAGATCTTAATCCATCAAATCCCTGCTGCAAATCATGAAAACCATGACTACCCGGATTTCCTGGAAAATTGCCTCTACCGAAAGATCCCACTGGTGGATGATAACCAGGCCTTGGTCCAAAAAGCATATTGTCACCTTGTTGGTCAATGCTAACTAAGGTGGTGAGCTCTGGCTGTGAAACTGTAGTTGGTGAAGTAATATATGGCATGCTATGAGGACCAAGCTGCTGATAATAAGGTGGTCCCGAAAATGGAAATTGCTGGGGGGAATATAACTGTGCATCACCACCTACAGACGGCATAGGTGTTGTGACCGGGGAGTAAGGCCCGTAGGGCATTTGAGGATTGTAGCCATATCCAGAATGAAAGACTAGAGAAGGATTCTCATTGTAGACACCCTAATCAAGATTAAATATCAAATCAAATTACAATAAATTAACAGAAATGTTGATATATGAATTGAAGAAGAAAAAAAATACACTCACAGGAGAACTAATCTCCAACCCTTCAGCGTTGAGGTATGGAGCATATTCATCCCACTCACCAGTTCCATTTTCATAACCTACATCACAGATGATAACATTATATCGATACTTACCTTCTATAAGTGACAGTAACATAAGACACAACTAAATAAAGAATATAACAACAACTCTTTTCCTTATACGAGTCAAAAATTATCACTGCCTTAAAACTTAAGTTTAAAAAGCCAATTATGAACCCTGACTTCCTAGGCCAGCTAAAAATGCACAGATTTTGAAATTTATATATATTCCAACCTCACAAATTAATGTAAATCAGATTTTGATTGGTTCTACTCCACACAGAAAATGGGAAAAAAAGCTCCTCCCTGATGGAGCTGAATCAATGTAAGAAACAGTGAAGTTTATTTTCAGACTTTGTACAGCTGTGAATGGCCCCCATTTCCATGGCTGCGCATCCAGACCCAGAGGAACAAAAGACTAACCTCTATAGTAGAAGGTCTGGGCCTGAGGGGCATAGACATTAGGTGGGATAACAGTGTGATCTCCACCTGAACCAAAAGGACCCGATTGACCTGCTGCATCCCTTGGATGACCTATTGTGGCAGCATCTGGAGAAGGATTAGGAGAAACTGACCTCTCAATTTTTGCTACATGGGGCTGATAACAGATAAACAAACAGAAAACTGTCATGCACAAGAGGGAGTAAAGAAAACTAACTAACTTCAATTGCACAGAAATTGCAATGGATCAGAAGAGCATTGTATTGGATTCACAACTACCTGCTCCTTCATGTTATCTGGTTCAGCAGGTTTCTCTTCTGCATCCATGATCAGTATGCTCAGTGACTTAGTAGAGTCTTAGAAACACAGGCAGTACAAATTATTGACCAACCAAAGCAAAATTCGGTGATAGGAAAACTTGAAGGTATGAATATGTGCGCACATATCCACGCGTGCACACCTATGCACACATGATAAATAGAAGTACATGAATATATTTCAGTCATGTCTACATCAATAGGTTCGAAATCTAGTTATAAAATATACAAAATTTCGAGCTGGCCACCAGTAATAGAATTCTTTAGAAGAAAAAAGCCTTGATAGATATAAAGGTCTCAACTTCAGGAAACTGAAAAGCTGCCATAGATATGACCCTAACCTCTCAAACTATAAATAATGACATTCATGGAATTGTTTATGGATACACAATGAAACAAGATGCCCAACTGTATAAGTTATCCAGAGAGCTTCTAGTGATAACCCATATTGAAAAAAGAAGTTAAGAAAAATTTCCCACAAATTTTAAAAGGAAAAGGAAAAAAAAGAAAAAAAGTATTGACCTCAACAGCCTCATTACCTCCCTTAATTCTTTCATCTTAAGCTAGTCTGATATTAACTGTTCCAATTCATCCACCTCCTACTACTCCGGAGAAAATATCTTCCCTTTTCTATCTGCCTCTCCCCAGTCCCCAGTAAACCAGAACATGACAATACACCTATAAAGACTACAACAACGAGAAATTAGAAAAAGCCTGATGCTCTACCTATATAATTCTAGTTCAGGAAAGTTGGCATTTCGTGCAATATCAAACAGAGGCTTCTTAAAAACAAAAGCTGAGTCTGCAAGTAACTACACGCATGACATATTAATTGATTGCACAACCACACTATAGTCTAGTGCATTCTTTTTGTTGACAGCAATTCTAATAATGAATAACCAAATGACTCCTACAAACCAAACATAATCATCAAAACTGCATCTTCACTATATGCATATACATACATGCAGCAAACATAACTTAATACATATACAATTATACATATATCAAGCATTCGGACTAAATGATGACTGATCTCGAAGTAACCGAATCATATGACCCGACATATCAATAAGCAATGACCTCTCAAACACAACATCCAAACAAGAAAACAGAAAATGAAACAACCAAAGCTTGCAATAATTCTGTCATCTAACAATACCAGAAACTAGATCTCCAATGTTTAGATACTCCTAAGCGTGCCTGCAACTCAGATCAGGGCACAGTTCTACAGACAAAGCCAACCATGGATGCCAAAATTCACACTACAAAAACGCTAAAGCCCCAACTTCCCCAACAAATACAGAAACTTGTTCAAGTAAATGAAAAATTTATCCAATTCATTGACTTTACACAGGATCAAGGCAAAATACAAACAAACAAAAGAAACCCATCAGAGGAAAAGATTAACACCACAACACAGATAACAAAAATCATCAAAAATCATGATAAGGGGAAGAGAAGAAGCAAGCAGAATTTAAAAAACAAAAAACAAAAAACAAAAAGGAAGATTATTTGCGATATGGGTTTGATGGTATTGACGTACCAGAGGTACGATCTGGAGCCTGCGGTTGGTTTGCCGCCATGAATCTGAAGTAAAGATCTTCAATTTTCAAAGAGACACCGCGCACGAGAATCTAAGCAGAGGCAGAGTATCTACTATATGTGTATATGTACCTATCTCTCTCTCCTCATAACATTATTAACAATTATATCTCTTATATATTTATAACGTACTCCATATTTATCCTGCAGAAACAAGAAGTTTCTCGCTTTGCCTTCTCTATTTTTTTTCTTTTTTGTATCCCATCATAAAATAAAGCAATTTTCATTTTCATTTTATATTGTTGGGTTTTTTAAATTTATTTATTTAATATTAATTGGAATTTTAGAAAAGAAAAGTTGGGCGTGGAAGTCACTAAAATGGTAAATTTATGGTGAGTTCCAAAAGAACAGTGGGTACCCGGAATGAGAAATATGCAAATGTAACGAGCACTGAGTGACTTTTACTTCTCTGGGGACTGTTTGTTCATTAAAAAGAAGTTTAAATAATAAATTAATGACCATTAGTTTAAATAAATTATAAAATAAATAAATAAATAAATAAATAAAACAGTAAATAGTTTGGGTTGTAAGTTACTTCTTTTTTTCCTTACAAAAAAAAGTTACTTCTTTTTTTCCTTATAAAAAAAAGTTACTTCTTTTTTGAGTCTTGAGTCAGAGTCTTTGACATCTGCAACGCTATACTTTTGTGTACCTGCTATAGGCTGACCCACTCGTGCAATGGCTATCATAGACCAAATGATCAATTTCTGATATCGACTTTGAAATGTACAAATAACCAATGCAAATCCTCAACATAAATATTTGAGAGAAAATGAATTGTGAAAGATTTCTAGTAAGGGCTTAAGCTTGGATTCATTCCCAGCTAATTAAGATAGTTCGGTTTCGGTTCATATTGCAATTCATATGGATCTTTGATAACTTGAACCAAATTGAATTGTCTTAACTCGTCAAGGATGAATGTTTATTGTTGACTTATTCTCTAACAGCTTAAGCTTTTTAGAGCTAGTGATTGTCTAACATGGAGCCTTATTTATAAGTAATTATGGGTTTTATACCCTACACTTATATGTAGTTGTTGGGACTATTATTTGTCTAACAAGCTTGACCTATGCTCATTCATCACTGTTAATCTCTAACACAACTATTTTTTTCAATTTATTGTGCTATGTGGGTTAACATGAGAGAAAAGGTGTGTCCCAAAAATCTCTATAGTACTATGTGGGTTAAATATAAAAAATAAAAATAAAAAGGGGCTTGTGAGACCTTCTAAATGTTTGGGTAGTTCCCAAGTGGTCCTTATGATGTGGTAGAGAGTGTACATGGTGGCTAACCAGGTCACGTGATCCGTGCTAAAGCGATTCTCCAGCAGATGTCAGAAAGCTGTGTAACCATGTGCCACAAATAAGCAGGGAGTTGTGTTCTCCAAGCCTATTGTAATCCTGTAAATGTTGTCTTTCCCCTCTCCTAAGAGTATTTACCTCTGTACCAAAGGTTCTAAGTTGGATTCTCCCGTCTCTCAATATCGCTGGTAATAATATTACATCAACAACAACAACAACAAAATCTCAATTCTCTAATGAATGTCAATTTGATCCCAGCTCATAGGTAACAAAGTATTTGATGCCTTGTTAAAAATACTGGACAAACTCATTGATGCAACCAAGGACACAAATGGTGGTCTCTGATTTTGACCTCAAGGGTCTGACAATGTTTTTTTTTCTTTTTAGGTTTCATGAGAACCAACAAACTGTAATTGAAGAAACATTTCAGCATTCTAACTAAAACACAAAAGTTAATGAAAATTGACATCCTTGTACTATCTTTCAGTTTTAACTTAGAAATGCATTAAATCAGTTTAAGATCTTCAGGAACGGAGTTTGTTCTAAGGAAATAATAAAACACTACTTGAGCTGCTTAATTTTCACAAGCTGCATTTGGTATAATGAACAAGTGAAGCCCTGCCTAATTCTTTTTGTCCTTCATGTTTATCAAATGGACAGTGTGTAAGGACTGGGGGCAAAGCCCCCTCTACTGTATGTGGGATATTCATACAAATGTTACTGGCTTTGATTCTTTGAGTTAGATGATACAGTATCGCTCAATTCACAGCCCTTGGTTTCAAATGGGAAGAGCAATACGCATACCCCCGAAAGAAAAATTACAATCTCAAAGAGCAGAATGGATGCTGTCTGATGGCATCCATGTACCAAACCTACTGCCACAAGAGGACATATCATTCCACCAATTCTTCCCATTGCACTTGCAACTCCGACGCCGGTTGTTCGGACTGAAGTTGGGTATATCTACAGTTCAAACAAAAGATATAGATATTAAGTACTTGGTACTCGTTCAAAATGATTTTCATGGATAAGCACAGAAATCCATACGAACAGAAGACCGAGAATGTGAATCTACAAGCAAGGTTTTTCACAATCTTTTTCTTAGATTAACCAAGTTTTTTTTTCCATATTCTAAGCAGTGAGTGCATTTTGTTTTACCACTACAGTTACGTAGATTATTTAAATGTGGTGGAGAAATTAGAGGTTATGGGCAAGAAGTTGACAGTGACACACACGACACATACCAACATATGAAAATTAGGACACAGGTGGTTTAGATTCACAGTACTGTTCCCTTAGAAGTAAGCACTCCCATAATGTCTCCACCATAAAAGAATAAATAACTGAAAATTTTAGTTAAACTAGTTAACATTCAATTAAAAATGGGAAAACGAGCTCTAGATATCTTCCACATTTGATGTGTTTTCATGTCAATCAAAGCCATATAATCATTTTAGAGTCATTTTATGCAATTTCTAAGATGCCATCATGGAATTTCCAAAGTAAGACAGACCTGACATATTTGTGTGATGTTTGAACTTGGCTTCAGTGCCATGCCTTTTGAACATAAATCTCATGTAAGGGTATTTCTAAACCTAGAAATTTATTTATCCCCATGTTGGATTGAGAGTTTAGTTGGCAGGCTCTAATTCCAGAACTACAACTAGTTAAGCACCAGCTTTAGTACTATTTATAAATAATAATAAAAAGGAAGAAAGAAAACTCATTCAGTTTGAAAACGCTTCTGATAGTTAAAGATGCCTAACTTCAAATAAAAAATTGTATAATAAAGAAACCCAAAAAACTAAAAATCTCAGACAATCATGCATTGAAGAAAAGCATGGATTTGCACACTTAAAAAACACTTTCATGTCCACTGGCTTTTAAAATGATAAATGCATTCACAATTTACCTCTGGGGCATATATATAGACTATTGTGAAGGTCGCTGTGATGCATATGCGAGCTCCAAAAAGAAGGCTAGTGGTCAAGCCCTGAGACTGTTGAATTACCAAGGGGAGTAGAAAAATGCAACACAAGAAGAACATGGCTGACATTGAAAGCTTACGACCCAGTCTATCGACCATGGCAGCAGATATGAAGAGCCCAGGTAACTCTTCATTCCAAACAAAGTTAAATGTCATTCAACCATTTTCTAGCAATAGGATAACACTTTCCATAAATAAATAATTACAAACACTGAAGATAAATTTACCTGCAAAACTAGCGATGAAAACATCTCTATAGCCAGTATCCAGCAATTTGTCTGACTGTAATTTATCCGGCGTACATTTACTATGTCCATTGCTCAACTCAGTGGTCAGAAGCACCAGGCCATAATATGAAAAAGCATTCCCAAAGAATACTACCCATAAGAGCAAGGTAGATCTGACTAATTTTGGGGAAAGAAGCATTGACAGTGAAGAGATGCCCCCAATATCAGAAGAATCCATCTCCTTAGGTGATGTATCTTCATTTTCTGTTGGTGAGATCAAACGTGCATCTTCTGATAGAGTACTCTTTTCAGATAACTCGATTTTTAAATCAGAGACAAGGTTTCCAGAAGGGAGTTTTGTTCCATTCAGTCTTGCTACCCTCTCCAAAATATTGATTGCCTCAGTTGTTCTCCCTTTTAAGCATAAATACCTCGGTGATTCAGGTGCTACCCAATAGAATACAAGGAGAAGCGACGAAGGGAGTGAAGACAGTCCAAGTAGCCACCTCCAGCCCAGTGTTGGCATGACAAACTGCAAAGAACACAACATAAATATATGAAGGCACCAATCTTAAATTCTTATTACATATATTGGCATTACAACCCCAAAACAAGGGAAAATTAAAATTACATGCAGCTGAACATGTAAGCTGAATAAGGAAAGCTATCTGTTTGTCAACTTGTTATGCAATTAGATATATTTACAATAGCTATTCACCCAAAGAAAAGAAAAGGAAAGATGCTAACCCAATGTTCAACTGGCTTATTATCCACTATTTATGGAATGACAATAGAAGTTACTACTAACGTTTGTTATGTTCATTATTTACTTGACACAATTGTTAAAGCCTAGTTAGTAACAGTATTGATGCCAAAGTTCCTTTAATTCCAGTATCGAAAGATCAAAACATAAGAAAAACACAATTCCGGGAAATCAAATCTAGAAAAGTTGGTTTAAACTCAAACGAATAAAATAAAGTACTCAAAAGCATACCCATGCAAGTGAAGCCTCGAGAATTGTTCCAAGAGTCCAAAAAGCTGAAAAAACAACCATCCAGGTGCCTCTGTTAGGAGCAGGAATGAACTCCAGAAACCAGGATGAGAGTACAGGGCCACCGCCCAAACCAACACCGACCAAACAACGAAGAAGGATCAAGGATGTATAATTAGGCGAAAGAGCACTCAGAAATCCAGCTCCAAAAGTAATTGTGGCTGTAATGAGAAAACCTTTCCTGAAAGAATAGAAGTGTACCGACAAAAAAAAGAACCAATAGAGTCATTAAGTCAGAAAAATGGGTGCATTCAAGATCACAGTGAACCCTATAAAAGGAATAAAGAATCAAATATGTATCCAATTAAGAATAGAAAAGGAAAACTACAGTTACTACAATGTGCAGGTGCATGGACAGAAAAACTAGAACATCAGAAATGGCAAGCAGATGCTACAAATAACAAATCCAAGCAGGAGTGATCAGTACTAGCAGAATAAAACCCTGTCATTTAAAGTTCTGGTTCGAGTAATATAGCTCAACTGGATATCACATGCCTGAAAATTAGCATTTTCTTTTTCAGTAGATAGAAGATTTAGGGAAAATAACCATAATCAAAAGATCATACCAAAGTCTGAGACCAAAATCCAAACAAAAATTAAAAATTAAAAAGAAAAATATTCAATCACTATGTGATGAATACAAATTTTGTCTTTCTTATAATCAAAAGTTGTCTGATAATGAGCAACCACGCAGCTATTGAAGTTACAGTTTCGAACCATGTTGCATAATGACTTTATGTAGTCAATTGAAACATGTCTATAGAATCATCTAAGGCATTTTGACATTAAGAGAAGAGCCTGAACTAAATCAAATAAAATGATAAACACATGATATTAGTAGCCACCTTTTTGGCCCCAACATAATAGACAGGATCCCATAAAGGTTCAGACTGTTTGAATTAACCAAAGAGAAGAAAAATAAGAAAACAAAAAATGGCCCACCTACGTCCGTGTTTATCAGATACTATGCCCCATGTGTACGCTCCAACTAGCATTCCAGCAAAAACCACGCTGGTTATGAAACTTTCTTGTTGGGAAGAAAGACCCCAAGCAGACTGAACGGCTGGTCCAACAAACGAGAGTAGCATCATCTCCATTGCTTCTGAGACCCAACCCATGCCAGCATAAGCAAGCACAAGAATTTGAAACTTTCCAAACCCCATGGCCACAAGAGCCTCATCGACAGTGTATTCCGGGCTTTCATCTCCCATCTACAAGTCTGAGACGACAAGACTATTTTACCTAAGTAGAATTACACAGAATTCTTAGTACCATACAATGATATCAGAAAGGATAGTTTCCCATGAAGACTACCAAAAAGTTCACATCTTCTAAGTCACTTATTCATAGGCCATATATTGAGACAATGTGGACAATATTTACATAGAGAAAGAAATGGTGAACAGAACTAAATATACTAAGCTGACCAGACAGAAACATGGGGCATGCTGGTGATGTTGAAGCAGGACACAAAGACAATGTGCTAACATTACTGCACAAAGTAAGACACTCCAATGTTCCTATTGCACAAGGTTTTGACCTAAATTACTACTTAGTACTTACCAACCCAATATTTGGGAACACATAAACTCTATTCTTTCCAACACTTTGAAGTTTGTGAATCCCAAAAATGAGGAATTATTACATAAATGCATCTTAAACAAATTTCTGAAGCTCAACTCTAACTTTCCTTTCCTCTGTAGATTATCCCTTACCTTCTGATTTTCTTTCTTTCTTTGAAAAAAAAAAATTTGATTACTTTGCAAGATGGGTATTGAGAAGGAACTGTAAAGTCAATAAATGGATGCCCATTCACCAAATACTGTATACATAAAGGATCCAAATAATCCCAAAGTTATGGAACAAGATTAAATAAAAGCAAATGAAAAAACAGCTGATATGAAAAACTAACCTGCAATTTTAGAAAGAAAGATCTTCCCCCGATTGTCGCTGGGATTGGGAATTGGGAATTGGGAAATGAGAAAGTAATGAAAGTCAGAATCTTGAGGAAGTGACTTTCTGCTCTGAATGAGCTAAAATTCAAGATTTCCTCAAGTTTTAAATTTTTGTCTGAGATTCTGAGAGAGAAACGATTTGGGTAATTAACAAAACACAAAATTAACATGAAAAATGACTAAAGAATGAATCTTTCATTCATCAATGATAGTTTGATTTTCTGGTGTTGTGGGGTTTGACGACTTCTTCGGCTTCCCGCTTCCTTCTAACCCAACTCTCTCTTTATCTCTCTTTTGACTTTTGTACCACATTCTTATGACCGTTTGTCTTTCGCATGACTTCATACGTTACGCATTTTTAATAATATATTTTGCTAGATCTAAAAATCTGTACCTTCATTTTATTTTTAAGGTCCATTTAGATTTACATTTTTAGTGTAAATTGCCTTATTCAAGTTTTAAAATATTAATTTATTGTGTTAATAAAATTTACATATAAATTTAATTATTTTAAAAAAATTATGGATCTTAAACACTCAAGAAATCTCATATGCTGAAATATCCTTGACATGTAAATCTCATGTTTAAAGTTAAAGATGAACATTTGGATCGTCAACTACATTGGTGGAAGATTGAAACCAAAGTTTACTCATGGCATTGTTGAATTTGTTTATTGTAAAAGGAAGCTCCAATTAGTAGTTCCATATGTGTAATAAGATCATGGATATCATAAAACGTCAAGTGCCTTTCAATTTGAATCTTTTGATGAATGGTCCCTACATTATGCCACTAGTATATATAAGTAGTGATCCCCTAACTTGGTGGGATGCTAGAAACACCAAAAAAAATTTCGAAATTTTATATACTATGATAACTAAAATTTGTGTAACTTACGCCTGTTTTGGAGTGCTTCTGGAAGGGCAAAAAACTCTTTTTGATAACTAAAAGTGTCACATCCTGAATTGGCTCCGCCGTAGCACGATATTGTCCGCTTCGGGCCCCCTTATATGCCCTCACGGTTTTGTTTCTAGGAGCTCAAGAGCAACTTCCCAGTGGGTCACCCATCCTGAGATTGCTCTAGCCCCAACTCGCTTAACTTCGGAGTTCCCATGACTCCGAAGCCAGTGAGCTCCCAAAAGGCCTCGTGCTAGATGGAGGCGGGCATGTACACATAAGGCACATCACCCCCTATTTGTTGGTCGATGTGAGATGTTACAATCCACCCCCCTTAGGGGCCCGACGTCCTCGTCGGCACATTCGCACCACACGGCAGAGTGGCTCTGATACCAAATTGTCACATCCCGGATTGGCTCCATCGTAGCACGATATTGTCCGCTTCGGGGCCCCCTTCTCTACCCTCAAGATTTTGTTTTTGGGAGCTCACGAGCAACTTCCCAGTGGGTCACCCATCCTGGGATTACTCTAGCCCCAACTCGCTTAACTTCGGAGTTCCTATGACTCCGAAGCCAGTGAGCTCCCAAAATGTCTCATGCTAGATGGAGGCAGACATGTACATATAAGGCACATCACCCCCTCTTCGTTGGTCGATGTGGAATGTTATAAAAAACGTTTTTCACAGCGTTTGGTAGAAAAGTTTAGAAGCGCTTCTAGGTCATAGAAGCGCTTCTAGGTCATAGAAGCACTTCCTGGAGAAGCACCTACTATGTGCTTCCTGCTAAGCGCTTCTTTAGGAAGCACTCCCAAATACTTTTCCACGAAGCACTTTAATTTTTTAAGAAAATTCAAGATTTTTATAATAAAAGCGTTTTTGTTAGAAATGCTTATGAGTACAAATACTTCCTAGAGAAGCAGTCTCAAACGAGCCCTAAATTTGCCTACAATATTATTGTTTACTTGGGTTTTGAACTCTTCTGAGCTGATAGAAATCACAACTCACTCACTATCTTGCTGTGAATTTCTGTTACACTTCCCAGGCTTCTTCTTCCTTTCATCCAACGCTCAAATCTGAAAGCACAAATCAATGAAGAAGGGCATTTGATATGTTAGGTAGGAATCTGTCTTGGTAGGGATTGTTGCTGTCCATAAAAAAGAATCATTTGCTTCTTAAATCAGTAAATAATTTTGGACCCATCTGGGCCCAAGCACATTTGGTTTGCCTAAATGTAGGCTCAGGAAGCATACATACCAGTACCAGAAAGTTTTAGATTGTGACCCATCATCACAAGTGACCATACATCCAGAGCAAAAGTTAGGAGACAATGACTTTGCTGGTCCAATGGCCATTTCCAACCTCCTTGAGGCAACACTATTCTAAGCTTGTCCCTGTTGCCTAAACGAATGTCCTCATACCCTTTAACCTTTTGTTCCTTCACTATTAAAAAATCTTGTTATATCTCTCACCAATCTTGTTATATCCATGGCATGGCATCAGTCTAATGCTAATAATGCTAGGGGAGTGAAAGACATAAGAAAAACTCGAAGTATTACTGATTTTCTTTTTGAACGCATCATCACATACAGTAACGGATTCATGAATTTTTTATTTGGAAACAAGATGAAGCACACACGTCAGACTCCATTGCCTACCCTACCTCAGCTTCTTTGAGACATTTTGTGGGACAGCTTGCCCCATGGAAGTCATGATCAACTAGAATATCTAAAGAACATTGAGTAATTTCATGCGTATCAAGGGCTATTCTCGCTTCTTGCATCATTCATGCACTTGTCGTATCAAACGAAAAGAGATTCAAATTTCAGATGTTTGATAATAAAGTGAAGAAAAATACCATCCGTTCTTTAATATTGGCAAAATAGTCTAAAGTTTAATTGATAATTGGTTTATGTGTGATAACCAAGTTGTTTGATCATGTTTGACAATCTGTACCACTCAGTACCGCACACAGTGGGGACTACCAGTGACGTTGGAAAGAAAAGAAAATAAAATAAAATAATTGCAACATCCAAAATGTAAAGTCTATTCATGCATTCTGTCAAATGATGTACTTTGTTGCCTAAGTGGAATCTGAATGAACCAACTTGTTTATTTTGGGGGTTTTTATTGGTTGTTAGGTTGACTGTTAACTTCAAGCAAGTGATGGGTTAATGATTTGAATGCTATAAATGGTGTAGACTAAAACACTAGTTTTGCAGAAAGTCGGTCTGTATATAACATCAATTACCATGATAGTCACATAAAATTGTCTCTGTTTGCGATATGATTTGCATGCTGGAGTACGGTTACGTTGTATAAATTGTTCATGTGTTGTTAATATAGGTCGTAGTCTAGTATCATACAACGTTGTCATTTTATAAAATGACGGATATGCTAAGGAGATCATACTACTATATCACATTATGTGCTACCTCTTTAATAAATTCAAGATTCACCAAAACACATATGAGTGTCGCCTCTATTAAATAACGTCATAATAAAATAGGATTATGCTTTGCCTCTCTCTTTATTTAAAAGCAAAATTGTGTGTTAGATAAAGAGAGGGACCAAATATTGGCACTTGGTTTAGACTGGCGATTTGGGGCATTAATTGTTGAAGTGGTGGAGGGTGTAATCGAGAAGACTCTTCCGTATTAGACTCATAATGATTCTAAATGATTCTAAAGTACAATTTTAACACAAAAAATATTAGGAGATGACTAATTAGAAACTAGCAACTAGATACTCACAAAAAGAACATGTTGAGTCTATTTTACGTATTTGTATTATTTAAGTAAGTTGTAGCTAAGGCTAGGAATAAATTATTATTGGAGTTATAGTAACAATTTTGGAAATGGAAACACAAAGTTGTGATCATTTTGGTATCTATTAGCCTGCCTAGCTATACTTTTATCTCAAAATTCCTATACCATACGTCAAGTATAAAAACAATGCATAAAAATAACCCTTTAATTGACAGCTGCAAATTGTGAGGGTGAAACCCTAGTGGATGGGGTGAGGAGAGTGGTTGAAATGGTAGAGACCATGGATGGGGGCTGAAGAACCAAGAAAATTCATTCACCAAGTTGCTTGAGGTTTTTTTTTTCTTTTTACAAATCATATCTGAGATGCCTAAGAGGCCCACTTGCCTTGTCTTTAATTAAATCATAGTTGCTGTTTTTCAAGTTCTTAATCACATTATTTTAACATTTGCCGTCTTAGCTGAGAGGATCTATTGTGACATTTTTTTTTTCTTGTAAGCTGGCTATGGCTAGCTTTGGATACTCAAATTTAGAGCTTTGATCTAATGTTTTAAGTATCAAATTTTGGGATATTTAAAATTTAAAATCAACATGGGAGAAACATAAAATCTGAGCTCCAAATGATGATTTTCTCAATACGTCATGTCTTTAAGAACGATATAAGATATTATACAAAGAGTATTGTATATGAATTTATAAAGATATACAAGCAAACCAAAATCTTCACTTGCTTGTAAAGGTGTATTCCTTATCCAACAGACACAATCAAGAAATAGTCAATTTCTGTATAGTCAAAGTAAATGCCTTTAGGAGTTATATGCTGCAGATGCTATTGCAAATTGGGGGTTATAACTTAGCGCTAGGTGGATGTCTACTTGATGAGGCCCCAAGCTGGCTGGAAAATATCATTCTTGATGATATCCTTGGGATCACTACACCCCGCATGATTCCTGCTGCTGCTTACTTTGTTTTGTTTGGGGTTTTCCCCCCTTTCTCACCAAAAAAAAAAGGTATATGCCTTTTGTTTACCCCAAAATAAAAAAGTATATGCCTTTTGGAGTAACTGGCCAGGTGGATGAAGTCTTTGATATTAGTGATTTGACCTAATGTAATGAATAAGCACTGAATGATTTATATAAAAAAATGCTTGATCGTTATAAATTATAAGAAGTAATTTTTCATACACCAATAGTAGAGATGTTAAAATCATCACATGTATATTATTATTTATTCAAATCTATTCCTTATCCTTGCATTACATATTTTGAGAAACCAATGCCAAAAATTGTCATTATACAATGGGTAAGTAATGTTAGAATTAATTTGTAATATGAAATTTACATTCATCAATAATTGATAGTCGTCAATTCATACGTCTCATAAGATGTAATACGGAATTCACATTCATCGACATGGATAAGTAGGGTCCGCATGCGCCCATAAGATAGGAAAGTAGGATTGTATGCGCATAGAAATTTGTCAAAGTAAAAAAAGTAGTTACGTCATAGAAATGATTATGGTACTCTAATTAAAGATTATTAGTGCTTTCTGTAATAATTACAAAAACGGAATAAATCAAAGGTGACGACATCAAAATTGCTAGCGGGACAAACCGCCACTTGACACATCCGACAATTGAAGAGGCTCTACCCACCTTGGCACCTCCCATTGGCGCGTGCACTTACC